CGTCGGTAAACCAGGTACAGGTACAGAACGGTAAAACGAAATTTAGTAACGCGGGTACCGTGAAGGAGAAGAGCGTTGGCGATGCTAAAATCCAATCCGATGCATTTTTCTCTCAGTTAACCGCTCTGACTAACACAAATACGCGTACGGTCCGAACTAGAAGATTAGCGCAGGCTCAGGACGACCCGGAAGTACATAAAACCGCAAAGTTAGCTAAAGTAAGAAGAACAAGAATATTCCATAGTTCTCCTCGTAACAATTGTCGCTAATCATTAGCAAGTTCTAATTTGTTTAACGAAATTCTAGGTGCTAAAGGATCTTTACAGCATCGTTGCAACTGCAAACGACGAGAATGGACAACTGCTGTGCACACCGTTCATGACGTTACCTTCCAAAAGAAAGTTGCCGGATTATTACGAGAAAATATCGGATCCTATAGATTTAACTATGATCGATCAGTGCATCGGAACTGGTCATTACAAAACAGCCGAAAATTTTGATCAGGATATGATCAAACTTTTCGACAACAATATTAGATTCTTTGGTAGGACCTCAGAAATGGGTATCGCCGCGGCTAGATTAAGGAAATTATATTTGGGCAGCAAGCCTGATTTTGTGGACGCGATTACGGACGCGACAGGATGCCCTCCTTCTCAAGGTTTCTTACCTCCTCGAGGTTCAACGGCTGGCGAGGAAGATGTTATCAGATGTATTTGCGGTTTGCATAGGTAAGCAAACGTCGTATTAAATATTGCACAGGTCAGAACTACTCGTATTTGATCCTAAATATATATTTTGATCACCTTAGGGACGAAGGTTTGATGATTCAGTGCGAAAGGTGTCTCGTCTGGCAGCATTGCGATTGCGTTAAAGCCGACACTAGCGTAGAATCTTATTTGTGCGAGAGGTGCCATCCGCGTCCGGTGGATCTGGAGATCCCGTTGGAGGGCGACGAGGAGGAGGAGGGAAAGAAACACTACGTTACTTTGATGCGTGGCGATTTACAGCTCAGGCAAGGGGACACCGTGTACGTGTTGAGGGACACTCCAGAGAAACATACGTACAAAACCATTCAGAAACCTGATTACGAGCAGATGGATATCTTTAGAATCGAGAGACTCTGGAAGAATACAGAGTAAGTTCTTTAAGCTAATTAATTCTAATCGTTCTAGCGTTTTGATTGCGTTTGATTCGACAGAGGAGAGAGATTTGTATTTGGTCATCACTACTTAAGACCCCACGAAACGTATCACGAGCCTACTAGAAAGTTTTACGAGAACGAAGTTGTCTGTGCTCCGCTCTACGAAGCTGTCCCGTGCGATTTGGTTGCTGAACGCTGTTGGGTTCTCGATCCTCATACATACTGCAAAGGTGGTTCTTCTTTTCAAATGTCGAACACAATTTTCTATTATACCTTCTGTATATTTTCTTTAGAAACGCTTGTTTTCCTTTTTTTTTTCTTTTTTAACGAAGGACGACCGGTGGGTTCCACGCCAGAGCATACTTACGTGTGCGAGTACCGCGTTGATCGCGCTGCTCGACTTTTCACGAAAGTAGCCAGAGCTAGGCATCAAGTGTGCACGAAACCATACGCGTTCGAAACGTTTCCACAGCGTATCAAGCATTACCGTACATACTTGGTAAGTACCCGAAGGAAATTGTCGAAAGAAACTTAAGAATGTGAATCGATAATTGAGTGAAATTTTACAGCCACACAGTCTCGAAGGAATACAGGTTGGAAGTAAAATGAATAAAGAGAAGAAGAAAGGGAACAACCAGGACGCGGATACTAATCAGAAATCGGAAACAAACGACAACGCGAAAACGCAGGTTAAAGATCAACAAAAATCCTCCACGAGTAAAGGTAGACGACGATCGAATGAAATTTTATCCATCTCTACTCCTACCACATCGTACGCTCAGGTAACGATTTTGCTTTTACGAATCTGTGTTGTTTTAAAGTGATAACCTTTTTAATAATTTTGTGGATAATATCGTTGGATACTTTTAATTTAATACCTTTACGTGGATCATTCCAGCGAGAAGAGCAAAGAAGAAGGTTGAATAACATTTTAATCGGTTTACTACAAAAGATGCCGAATAAAAAGGATCCTTTGGATCTGTCGTTTTTACTAGAAAGGAATAGGCGGAATCGTAAAAGGCCAGGTGGATTGAATCCGTGACATTGGGTTATACATCAACGATAATACGGTATTATCGTACACGCGTATGTGTTCATGCTCGTTCATGCACACACACACGTAACGCATTGGTACTATGGGCCACTAATTTCTATCGCAGTTACATCTGTAATCAAAGACGATCTACCGATCGGTTATTTCGTTTTGCTACACGTAAATTGATGTCGTTTAAATCGTCGTTTCGCAAAGGAAAACGATAAGCTACGCGTTTTCGTATCCTTACACTATGACCCGTCCATTCGTATAATTTAATCTTAAAAAGTGAATTACCACTCTTCTCGAGCCTACGCTATATCAATCGAGAATCTTTTTATATATTGTTTTTACGTGTGTGAAACTATAGAAAATTCGTAGGAATCATATTTCAATTGAGATTTTCTGTAGTTTCTTGTCATCGTTTTGATATTTTTAGACAACTTCCTTCGCTTGCGTCAGAAGTTAGGTATCGGGTGAACAAATTGGAACAGAATCGTTTGATTCTGTTCGAAATAATTCACGGCGTAATGTTACGCGAAATTTTTTTATAAGTATTTCGATCGTATAGAGTTTATTTGAGTTCATGAAATGGATCGAACGGGATCGGGAATTTAGATTCCGGTGCCTGGAACAACGTATCAATCGAATTGCATATAACGAGAGCTATTATTACTTCTAATACAATTCTAATATAATTAGAATCGTTAAATTGTATAAAAGTAATCTGTAAATTTCCCTCATAGTGCATATATTTTAAGTGTACAAATTATATACATATTAATTGGAAACGAGTTATGCGACGCGACACGCAGTGACAGTAAGAAAATCAGAACGCGCGGCGGGCGTCCAAGAACGATTTGAATAAGAGAAATAATATCGAATACATGCGAGGCTTTATTGCACAAAAAGTACCATTATATTTTTCATAATCCCAGTGTTACTTTGAATTAAGTGTAATATATAGGTTTTTAAATTAATAGATAAAACTCTACTAACATATTTAATTTATTCACTATCGCGATCGAATATAGCGAATTGTTGCTATAAAGACAAATATACATACGCAGGATTTCGTATTTATTATTACATTATACAATTAGTAAATACATATTATTGAAAGCTATTTAATACGTATAAATCTTATTTACAATATAATATACATATATATATTTATATATATATGTTTCTACGCTTTGCACGATGTCCGAGTTTGTTTTTATCGAATGAACACACATTACGGCTACCCTGTTTCTGTTTTCCAATGTTAATTACACAAGCATGTCGTTCTAGCGCTATCGTAAAATCATGTACCACGAACTTAAATGGCATGGAAAACGAAATATTTATCTTTATTCATTAATACTACCGATGAAACTAATGAATTTAGAATTCGTTACGCTTTAATTGATCTTTTATCGAACATTTTGGAAATGTTTTAAAACGCGAATTTTATTTAATATATATATATATATATATAATCATGGAATTAACGCTTGTTCTTAGCTCACGGATAACTGAATGATTTCGGATTCTCACTGAACTTTCAATAGTTGTCTTAAAACAAAAAGGGTATCGTTCTTTTTTAGAAATGATCCATTAAAATCCAAGGAGATCATTGCAACGGAGCACGAAGCTTTTTCCGCATGGAATGGCAGAAAAGAGAAATGTTAGAAGAGCTTATAATTTTACCGATACAATTACCTATGCGAGCTACGAATGAGAATATCTGCGCAATTACACGGAATATGCGTTTATAAATGTCATTAGATATACCAGAATTGTGTACATGTGAACCAGTTTGAATTAATTTAAACTCTTGTTCGTAGATTAAACAAAATGGTCAACATGGTCGATTACGTTGACGATTGCGTTAAGCGTGTGCGAAGACTGAATTACTGATACAGGATATTTCTAGCAGGTAATTGCGCTGATCGAATCTGGGTTGTAAATAATTTAAAACACGAAATAAATAGAAGATATTTTTTATTTTTACGAATAAGTTTGTACACTTCTGTCAACAAGGTAAATTCTCCGATTACAGACTAATTTTGTGAAATCAATATTGTTCGATCGTACATGAATGATAGAAATTAATTGTTCTTAATCATCGATCCGTGATCAACGCGTAATAAGAATATAATTTGAACTTGGTCGACTTCGAATCAGGATCATCATATTTCGTTGAACATGCATGGAAAAGTAATCATCTTATTTGAACATTTCATTTCTTTTAATCTCATCGTACTTCATTTCGCGTGCCGTACCACTTATCGGAAATCTATTTTAAGTTCGAAGTCTCGCAAACTGTACAAAGTATTGTAGAAAAAGGAGGTACAAAGACAATCATCCTGTAACTACGAAATAATTGTTTTTCTTTTTTCGTTATTACTGAACTAACAAAGGTATAATATAAAACGGGTACTATACTTTATTTGTAAGCTTATTTGAACGAATCGGTTGGGATAAAGCGATACTTAGACGAAGCGAAATAGAGAAAGAAAACGGTGATAAAGAACAAGGAGAAAAACGTTGTTAAAGAAAAAGGAATTAGGAACAGGAGGAAGTACGTTGGGTAACAAGAGCGTATCTGTTGTTTATAGAACGATGTTATATAAAATATAAAATTCAATTTTCAAACACAAAACATGATCTGGTAATCTCATCGATACAATAAAACGCGCGTGCATATAAATCAAATCTAATAATAATTTATTCGTGACACGATATATATTTTTTTTTTTTCCTTTGTACATCATCATTAGCATTAGAAAGATAAGTCAAAATCATACACGGTATCACTCTCGTGGTTGTCTCGAGAACATATTTTTTGTTTTTTTTTTTTTTTTTTCTTGTTACATCGTATTTTGCTATTAATGTATAAACAGACTTCCAGTGAACGTTCCGCATAATACGTTTGAAAATCTGTACATATTTACACGAGTCTTTTTTCGAGAGCGATAAATCATTGCAAAGGTGTTGCGGTCTTAACAGCTAACTGCATAATGTACCCATACGTGGAACTCTTCCTCTTGATCGTTTTTCTTTAAATCAAAAATCGTTACAAGACGTTATTATACGTTACCCCCTTTTACTCGTTTAAAAACTACGTATTATAATACGAATAGATTTTTGTCGTTACATGCATCCAATTACGATTATCGATCACCAACGGTGATCAATAACAATAAAATTTATTTAATATTGCATTTCGCAATGCAAAACACTTGTATGAGGTGCATGTGTAACGGTGCCTTCACTCGATAAAATCTAAATTCTTGATCGAGTTATAAAATCGCGATAACTTTGGAATTCGTACACTGCAAAATATACGAACGAAAAATGTGAATATATTGTCGTGGAAAAACTTGTCCATCTATTTGTGTGCCATCAAAAACCGATGTCCTGGTATCGACAACACTCTAATCAGGAATTTTCCATATATCCTCGTCGGTCTCGCGGTTGACTACACCCCCATCGTGGAATTGTCAAACGAAGCGGTTCTTACACTTTCCATTCTACCTGCCTAAAAGAATAAACACTTATAAATTATCATAGAATCCCTGGAAAAAAAAAGAAATACGGTGGTTAATTTGAAACTTTCATCAACCAATTGATTTCTTCTTAAATTATTATTTTATCATAAATTTCCTACGGAACCATCTGTGTAGCAAAAATATCTAAATACCTTACTATTCCACTCTCCTAACATATCTCGGCGGATTATTGTTTATTTGCAGCCTGTCTGCTAGATGATGTTGTTGTTGTTGTTGTTTGTCCACTCGGCTGCTGTTGGCCCCAATACTGATTATAATACTGCTGATTCCAACTATTGCAGTTTCCATTGCCATAACCCTGATTATAATTGCTGCTGCTGCTGCTGCTGCTGCTGCTGCTTTGAGCGTAGCTTTGCCCGTAACCCCTCCAGTTACCACCCCACTGCTGCGATCCACCCCAGTTGTTTTGTTGACCCCAACCACCCTGTGATTGACCGCTTGACCAGTTACCTCCTTGGTTCCAACCAGACTGTTGCGATCCTTGATAATTCCTTTAAAAAATGAAGATAATAATAAGAGAGAATTATTCACTGAACAGTGAGAAATTGAAAAGTAAGAAAAGAATTTAAGTACCACGCTGGAGCCCAGCCACCACCTTGACGAGTATTCAGAGAACGACCTCTTTCACTTGATACTATTCTTCTATCCAAATTACCACCACCTCTACGATCCATTCCACGATGTACGGACGGAATAGGTGTCCCTCTTCCTCTTCGTGGTATCGGAGGACCATAACCACCACCGCCGTGTCTTACGTGCCCTCTTTGTGGTCTGTCTCTTCGAGGCATATTACCTCCACCGCCGCGCCAAAGAGGAGTACGATTTCTTTCAACATCTGAGAACATTTATTGTTAAAATGTAATTTACTTTTATTTATACTTTCGTTCACCGCTGTATTTTATTACGATTCGTACAATTATTTCGTCTGTCACGATAATCTCGACTGTCCCTGTTGTCCCGGCTACTTCGCGAATCGCTTCGATGTTCACGGCCACTTTCTGATCTCGAATCGATTCGCGGTATTTTACTCGACTGCTGATGACCATATCCAGCTTCTTTTCCCTCTCTGTTGTACTTTTCTATAAGTTTTGTACCTTCCTCTTGGTCCAACTCTATCCAGTTAACAACATCGAAAGAGTCGCCAACAACTGGAGCTCTGAAATTAGCTGAAAACACAGAGCGCATAAAATATAATTACTTGATCTCATAATTAGTTAAACTCATGTACGTATCACGTTGTAAAAATCAAACAACGAACCTTTCATTTCTAACAGCATCGACTCTGTGATTTCCTTGCCTTCGATCGGCTTATGTTTGCTAGTACGCGACTTAAATTCTTCTTCCGGTGGAACTACAACTATCGCCTTCCTCTGATATCCATTGAAATTCTTCATCTTACGTCTTTGTGCGGAGGGGTACACATTTGTCTACCAGAGGGAAATAAAAATTCTTCATAATATAAAGTTCATCGTTTAAAAAATCAAATATACATACCTGATCCAGTATATAATTACGTCTTCTACTAGAAGCCATTTCCAGCAATTTGTCCAACGCATAAGTGCATTTCTGAATAAGTATCTTCCATTGTGCCTCGTAATCTTCTTTGTTAAATAACTCTGGATCCTTAAATAAAATTTATCAAACATAGATTAAGTAAAATGAAGGACAATTGTTTATACCACATGTTACATTTGTCTGGAATACGTACTTTCATTTTATCAATCAGATTGCCAAGTCCTAAGACGTTGTACATTTTCTGTGGATGCTCGGCCGCGTATTTTGTTGCCCAGGTGGTCTTCCCGCAAGCGGGTAATCCACACATCATTATCACTTCGCATTCTTCTTTCTTCTCTGGTCTCCGTGGACCAGGGATTTTATACTGAGGTTCTACGTTCCCGATGGAAACGTAGCCTTGCAAAATTTCCTCGGTCCATGGAGTTTCTTGACCAAAGTTACAAGCGAAGCTGCAATTTTTACTCAAAATATGTGGGAATAACGGCTTGTCGCCAAGTTCTTCCTTAGAAATATTGAACGCAATCCCTTGGTCTTTTCCGTTTACGGTATATGATAATACAACGCTGTTCTCCGACGTTGCGTCCAAGTAACAACCGATTACATCATCTTTACCAAATTGAACTCCGTAATCTTCGTACTGATTATCTGTTAATTTTTTACCGGTACTACAATAGCCGTAGCTGAATTTCTCTTCACCAAGTTGCATGGATGTGTAAGGAGTGGACCAACCGATCCTCAATACATGCGGATATTCTTCATTTTCTGTATTGACTGGGCAATGGTCTACTATCTTTGCTTCGTAGTATACCTTCCCGCAAAGAAAACCATAGGATGCTCTAGCACCAGCCCACATGTGTGAAAATCCATCGTTGTGCATAGGTGTGGCAGTAAAAAAGCCTTCCTTATCGATAACCAAATTCAAATCGGAATCGTCTGAAAGAAGAAATAGAATTGACGGATTAAACGAAGACATCTGAATGGAGCATAGTATAGTTATCTTCATTTATATACCAACATACACCAAGATAAGACTAAAGCAGCATCGTCGATTTCAGGTTCGTTTTCAGCTAGTACAGGCGGCGGTGAATCATGACGATCTTCTAAAGGACTGGGAGACCTTTTCCGCTTTCTATCCCTGTGGACAGGAAGCTTCGAACGTCGTGCTTTCGTGACTACATCTGTATCCTCTTTGTGTTTTATTTCTGTCATCTCTACATCCTTTCCACGTAAACGAAAATAGTTCAATGATTAAAAATAATATTTCCTGTAGGTACAGTAACATTTTCATGTAACGAAATGTAGAGGACGTAGCTTTACGCGAAAACCATCCGCGATCTCCTACATTATTAAATGTGAAATATATATATTTCCATTTTCTGAAATATGTTTCAAATGCTGTCCTCTACATTTTACTGAGATCGCGGATAGCATCAAGTATTGCAGCAATCAAAGCAAAAATTGCAAGGGGCATATCTAATAAAATAAAAATTAAAGATATACCTGTTTATCTTGTTTATCATCGACATTAGTGTCCGCTTCTTTTTCGCTACTAAGTAAAATATCTTCATCCATTGACTGATCGTCATCTTTTGCTTTTTCGCTTTCGATCATAATTGTATCTTCTGCTTCTTCAACTGTATCATTTGTTGGCTCTTCTGTTTCAGGAATGTCAGTTTTAGTATCACAAACAGGTTCTGCAGTTTCAATATTATCTATTGGATTCATGTCCTCCTTTTCCTCATCTGCAACAGATTCCATTGTCACGTTATCCGTTTTATCGCATGCATTATCATTTTCTGTCAATGTATCATTCTCGTGCGCATTGGGTGTAACGTTTTCATCCTCCCCCATGCCCGAGCTTTCTGATATTTCTTCTTTTTGATTATGATCTACGTTATCTGTATCATATTTCGATCCTTCTACAGCTGGATCAACGATATTGCTACACTTTACAGGAGACTTTACAACAGATTCTTGTGATATATTTATTTTACTCTCATTGTCAATATCTTCTTTAACATCATTATCTTTTACTTCTTCTTTTTCAACTTCCACAGTGTTTGTATCTTCTTGTTCTACATTAGCTATTGATTCTTTAGTTTCTATTTGATCATTCTTTTCAGGTAATACAGATTTTTCTTCTTGCATAACGGTTTCTTTTTCTACAGCAGTTTCTTCTTGTACCGCAGCTTCTTGCGCCGCGGCTTCTTCTTCTACTGCAGTTTCTTCTTGTACTGTAGGTTCTTCTTGTATCGCAGTCTCTTCTTGCATCGCAGCTTCTTCCTGCACTGCTGCTTCTTCTGGTACTGCAGTTTCTTCTTCTATGGAAGTTTCTTCTTGCGTAGCAGACTCTTCTTGACTACTAGATTCTTCTAGTAACGTGGACTCTGATACCGCGGGTGATGGCTCTCTCGACATATCGTTTTGATCTGATTTTTTCGGTGATGTTTGCTTTCTAGAATACGGAACTCTTGTAGTTCTTCGTTTCTTTATCGCAGGATCCTCCCGTGGTGTCGTTACTGGCGATCCTTTGGATAATCTACTAGATTTTTTTGGTGTCTGTGGCATTTTGGTTGATTTCGTAGATTTTTCATCATCTTCTTGACTCATAGCATCATATTCTGCATTTGTATTTGTCTTCCCTTGATCTTCTTCTAAAAGAGTAATATAATATATCATTAATCGATCTGCAAAATTAAAATTATACATCTAAGAAATATAATATCGACAAAATATCGATAAAATATGAGATTCTACGACGTATAAGAAAATCTAATAGCGACGCGGATACAACTCGTACGTAAACAGAAGAAAAGGCGCGTACATTTCGCATCTATCTAACATTCAAAATATTGAAAATAAATGTTTCACAACCATCGATTATCTCGAATAACGGCTGGAACAGGTTATCGCATCTAACTCTAATGTAATATAACGGGAAAAGTAAAGCGCGCTGAACGAAGATCATCTGATTTGAATGTTTGTCAACATTGAGATAACTGGGAACGTTAGCTATCGGTTAAAGAATACTGCAATTATTGAATCGTAAAACGTCGTAAATACGGTCGAATGAAACGACTGGAACGTACGGTTTTCATTTTCTTCATCTATCGCCTTGCGAAGTCTCTCAACAAGCACTGACTTGACGCCTTTCGTATCGAGTCCACGCTTAGAGAGTTCCATCCGTAAATCAACTACTTTTAACTTTTCCGGATCCATTGCGCGTGATACTTTATGGTTTCTTTTAGCCCACGCAGTTTTATTCAACAGAAAACCTCACGAAAAGCCCATACACGCGCCAGTGACCCGCGTTAAAATATACAATATGGCGACCCAACTGCAAACAACGCGTTACGTGTAGTAAATGGATTTTATTGGCCAAATGTGGCATTTTTTCCAACTAACGCTAACTTCACTACTAATGGAATTATTTCTTCCCCTTATATTGGTATACTACGACAAGTGTTATTGGTTATCTTAACGCGGGATAGTTGTTGATTCGTTAAAAGATTATGGATGCACGCAGTTCTAGTAGAAAGCATTAGTCAAACACGAATCTGTGTTCGCTCAGTAGTTGGACTTGCTGGAATTGTCCAGTAAACGGTGTTGATAGATGAAACAGAAATTCTGTGATTATTCCCTGAGTTTTCAGTAGTCAACAGTTTATTTAAAGTATAAAAGAAACGTCACTGAATTCTCTTCTCATTTGTTTATCAACATCTTAACTTATACAATTTTTCAATTGGTAAATGTCTAAAACTTCAAAATGGCACTACGGTGTTACGCTACTGTCATGGAAAGCGTCGGTGTCTGTTTTGTACTTGTCAATGTTTATCAATGATTTAGCATAAATATATTTTTTTATCACCTCGATTTTTTCAACGTTCAAATATGAACGTAATAAATGCGAACTGGTTACATTCCGTAGAGGGAGAATCGTTGATGCATCATTTTTATGTGAATACATCGAAAAAGAGAATATTCTATGGTAAAGAGTAATGGTCGTACGAATGATTTATCATCACGTAAATTCTTTGATCATCATTTTATTCGTAGAAAATTTCTAGGCATCCTGGAAAGACCACCTCTACCGTCGTCGATAGAAGAGGTTACGTATAAAATTTTTATGGTTGGCAGATCCGGGGTGGGGAAAACTTCCGTCGTAGCCTGTCTTGCTGGTACACTGGACTCTAATAATTACATTGAAACTAATGGAATAAAGAAAACAAACGTATTTTGGCCAGTTAAAATATGGGATAAAGTTGTATTATTTAAATTACAATTTTGGGACACTTCAGAGACAAGTATTAAAAAGTACAATCATATATTACCTGTAGGTAAAAGATTAAAATTTTATGAAGCACAGAAAACACGAGCAAGAACCTATGAATACCCTTCAAATTTTTAGGCATGTAAAGACAAAGTTGATGCTATATGTTCAGTATTTTCTTTTGATGATGCAACAGGTTTCAATGATATACCGTACTTGATGAATACAATGGCAGCTATTAAAGAGAAACCAGCAAATATAGTGATAGGAACAAAGTAACTTTCTACAACAATTTTCCCTTTATCTTCTTTTATTTCATCTACATTTATGCAGACAATTATAATTGTATTTCATTATTCCTTAATCAGATCTTGATATTTTGTAGATTTAAACCATGGTCCGGTTCTGCTGTAGAAGATGCACAGATAAAAGAATTTGAAGATAAATGGAAAGTTAAAGTTATCAGAGTCGACACGAACAAACTTTCTGCGAGATCGGAAATATTTGATTGTTCTTATCAGTTAAATGCTATATGCAATATTCTTTGGAATAGAGATAAGGAGTTTATATCGAAGCAAATGGGACAGGGTTAAATTACGGATACAGTATACAATTGTGATGATAGCTATGAATGATTTTTGCATGAATTTTAATACAAAAATATGTTTAATAATTCCTTTGCATCGCTTTTCATTTTATCCAGGTGGTCGTATTTAAATAGATAATGCAAGTAGTTCATCGATTACCGAAAGATCGATCGTCGTCGAGTAGGTTCCGTCATTTTCTAATAGATGAGGTCACCTTGTTCCGGAAAGCTGGTTGGTAAGTCGTTGAGTAGTTTCCACCATTTTTATATAGATGGCGGTATGATTAATATTCTAAATTTTATATGTAATAATTGAAAATTATTTTTTTTAAATCACTTTTAGTAGTATTTTCGTCAAAATTAATATTTTAAGAATTCCTGCTTTCTCTGTAACCCCATTTTCCCCGAGGAAGCCTACTCGATACTGTACAGTTAATGTTAAAGAAATATGGCTACGGTTTTCGAAAGTTCGTTCTTATCGAACAGATTACATCGTATCGAGGAACAGTATGAAGAATCAGCAAATGCTTTTGGCCGATGTGATTGTACCAGTTATAGTTATCTTGCCCTAAGCGTCATACTGTTTACTATTGGCACAGCTATCACTATTTTTGCTCTGAACGATAACGCGGAGGGGCACATATTTTTGCAACTCGGTCACATGTGGTTTATCGGTCCGATATTCGTCTGTTCCGGGCTAATGGTAGCTGTCAAGTGTATGCTTTACCTTCGAAGAAAATCAGTCATACAACTGATTTTTCGTCAACGGCAATTGTTTAGAGTAAGTGTTGTAAAATTTATTTTTAATTTCGTGAGTTTACTTATCAATGAATTTTTCAAAGATATTAACCTTACAATTTCTCGCATTAAATCTATAATAATTTTCAGGAATTAACGGGTACCCGTGGCCTGGAACACATTAGTACGATATCATCGAATCCACCTTCTTACGAAGTAATCGCCCGCGAAATATCGAACGAATTACCTCCACCCTCTTATGAAGAAGCAATAACTCTTGTACACAAAAGTACAGAAAATAGTAAATATTTTCCATTAATTATTAGTATGTTATTTCAACGCGTAATTGATCGATGAACATTTTTATTTTTACTTTAGATGCCAAATCAAATTGTGGAACTGTTTCCTCTGAAGGTATCTCCATTGCCCAAAATATCAGGCGCAAACCTTGAAACGGATACTGTTTTCGATCGGAAGATCGATGGCCACAAATAATTACGAGTTATCCTTCTGATCCACGAAGCATTCACTCGTGCATCATTTTTCTTTATTGTAAGCACAAAACTGATGCACGAACGAGAATCTTTTCAAAGGCAAAGGTAAAAATCGTAAAATCAACACGTTCGTACTTATTGTTAGTTCAAACATCGATCGAACGGGTGAAGGATCTATATTTTCTGTTCCTCTTCTTTATTTTTTCTACAAACAGAACTGGCATTGTTTGTAGTGATTTGATTTTAAGAATGTTAATACAAACCGTACGCGATAATGTTTTTGTATAAAATATTCACTGCCCTTGGTGAATTAATAATCTATTAATACAGTGTAAGAAGTAAAGATCTGACACTGCGACTGTAATGAATTTTCCGCACTGTATTAGTGATAATTAAGATCTAGATATTTTCATAAGAATAATCAACTGTATATACACATAAATATTTTTATACGATACGTGCAATGTATTTGAATTATTTAATTACCCGAAATTAACAATTTGAAAGGAACAAACGTTAAATCTGATAAAAAACAGAAACGAATTTTTTTCAAGAAAAAACACTGCCCATCTCGTACAATGTTTATTCTTCTTGTAATACACGCATTAAAAACAGAACGAGGAGACAGATATTTTTACACGTCCTTCTTCGTCTAACGAAAAATAACACGTACAGTTTATTAATGTACAAAATGTACTGCTCCTAATGCGTAAAGATTATACAAAGAACAAGAGGTGGTAGAGAATGATTACAAAAAGAAAAGAACAGAGAACTTAAATGTACTTTCTCAGGACTGAGCAACAGCCAACATTTCTTCTTGATGAATGAGATGTGTTGTATTATTGACAAGGCTCATTAATTTCGATAACGAAGCGGCCCACGCATCTAAAAGAGCAGCTGGTTCCTGAGTTCCCGTGAAACGAACTACACCAGCTGGACGATCCGTCCGAGCATTTATTACACCAGTTTCCACTAAACTGCAGAGGCACGCTTCCGTTTCTTCAACCGGTAAGTCCAATAACTCGGCCATTCGTGTTAGAGTGATTTTCGTGTAATATTTAGCCATAATTCTGATATTCTGTGAAATTCAATGAAAACAGAGCCAATGTCTAATGCCAGGGTAACTCGTGAAGAAGTAGACTTTGGAATCTTGCAAACTTACATGTTCCACGACACGATTTCGAAGATCGGCCCATCGTTTACAACCTTCTTCGGTCGAAGCAGTAAAGACCTCGGTTGCCCTTAATTCTTTTTCGTAAATTTCACAAAGGCCGGACCATTTAATCAGCTCTGGGTTCACGAAAAGGCGTAACAACTCCCTAGAAAATATCAATATATATACGTATGTATATGTATTTATTGGTATAGAAAATAAAACTAACGTGGAGTTTTGTTAAATAGTCAATGCATAGTACTTGTATGTTGGTATCTCATCTAGAAGTTTATCCGTAAGCAGTCTGTGGGTCAAATCAGCTTGTTCTGGCTCATGTGGCGCGAGTACCAGGTAAAGAACAGCCCGAGAGAGAGCAGTGTGCCTCTTCTTTGGATCATCTCTAACAGCTGGAGTTTCGAGCACAGCTCGATTATGCCTACACAATTCTAAATGCCAACCTTCGTGGCGAGCTAATTCCATCATCAAACTGAAATTAAATAAACATTTTGTAACTGTAATAATTTAAATTTTAGTCTAAGACAGGGATGAGCAATCCGCGGCCCGCCACACTTTCTCGTGCGGGCGTTCAAAGATTTTATATTTTTAATTTTAAGAATTCCTGCAGTCTTAAATTTGTAGCTGGCACGTTGTAAAAAATGGTTGCTCGTCCCTGATCTGAGATATCACCGTGACAACAGTTCACTCACTCGTAATATTTCAGTTTCAGGGTTTGCGTTTCTTGGTCGTTATCGTCATTGAAAAATTTAACATTAATTTTCTTAGCGATTATTTGAGTACGCATAAAATCTTTCTTCGCCAAGCATAGCCGCATTTGTTCCAAGATAAGGGCCGCTTTCTCCAAACGTGACATACTACCGTATGTTTCGACCTAAGCAATATTTTAACATGATTACGTTTAGATTATTGATACTTTAGCATTTTTTCTTGAGAATTACATACTTGTAATTCTAACATAACAGCTGTAGCGCCCGAAATATCGTCCTCCTCCTCCTTGATTTTTGCCAAACGATGGGTAAGTCTAGCTCTTTCAACTTCCACGTATATCTTGAATAAAATAATTACGTCGATTTTTGAAAATCCATTTTGAAGGATAATAAAATCCGAACTAAAACAATTACCTTTCCCTCTGTAACTGCGCGTAGAGTTTCTATCAATTTAATTTTCGTTTCCTTATCAGGCATCTTATCCACATAAGTACAACATTCTTGGACCATCTTTGTAACAGCTTGTTTCAACTGAGACCGTCTTTTGGATAGTAAAACTACGTGTTCATTTAATGCTGCCCAATTTTTTGCTTCTAAACAAATTTCAACGATAGCTACAAGAATTCGCGACGTAGACGACACATCCGCACTCTAAAAAAAGGTATAAGATCTTAATCAATCTTTATATTAATTAAGTAGAACATCAGGACGAAGCTTTACCGTTCGCGCTAATTTTTCCAAGGTCAACAACTGATCCAAGGCATCGTGCAACTTTCCTTCTTGTGCCAGCTTTTTACATTCTGGAATTTTTGTATCACAACTACCGCTGTAATCCACGTCCATTTTTACGATCTTCCCGGAATCCATCGTGCTTTCGGGCATTGTGCCTGTATTTTTCTATTGAAGAGGTATCAATCGAAATAATAAATATCAAGCCGTATAAAATCACGCATGAAATACGTCGGCCAACTTATCTGTAACATTTGTAAAATATAAATTAACTCCTAATCTCCGGTAAATCGATGGATTTAATTAAAAGAAGCAAGTAGTCACCTTTGTGTAGAAGTTTGTTTTTCACACATAAATCGCTGTTTTCTTTCCGTACATGTACGATCGAGTAACGTAACAATATCTTTAACCATGTAAAACCTGTAAGAATAATTCCTCGTAAATTTGATACTCTCTATCGTATACACATGTTTCAAAAATGACTGTCATGCAGTATACCTAAATACGCTGAAAACAGTAGGACCAAACGATGAAACTGAAAATGGCACGAACAAATGACCTGAACCTGGCTTCTATTCTGAAATTCATTGTTGTACAAGTTTACCCTAGAGAGAGCAGCACTGTTCATAAAAGATGGCGTTGCGAGCTTCGTAAAACTGAATTGCAATTTTCAATAAAAAACCGGAGCTTGACTCGGGCTCCCGAAATTTTAGGGCCGGTCCTGGTTTCAGCTCTTTTTTAAACGTGTTATGATTCAACTTCGCGGTTGAAATCGTGATTCTAGGATTCGAAAAACACAACCTCGTGGTCCTCGAATTTATCATCAGAAACATGTAGATTGATGATGGAAAATGATCCCAAGAATGACCAGCTAAGGCCAAAGATAACCACGTGTGACGGTATACAAGTTCTTTTTTACTTTTAAACCATATATCCTAATGGAAATACGGCTTTAATTAAAAACAAAATTAGCCTATCTCGCGATAGTGCTTTTTCAAGACATTTCCTGAAGTCCCTTTCAGGTCGAGTATCCTTGTTTCTAATATTCCTTTTTGCAGATCTCTCTATGCTTAATTATAAAACAAAAATACTCGAATTAGAAGAAGAAAGAAATGGATAAAATTGACCAATGTTCCCCGAGCGACTATAAACGAAAAAAAAGATTGGAGCGCAAACTTCAATTCGATCAAGCAATTTCGAAGGTAAACGTATTATTTCTATATTTATATTTCTAAAAGCGTAAATTATGATAATTATAGGCAAATACGATTAGAACTATATCCGAAACTCAAGACTATTTGAAGGAAAGAAAAATTTTCGATATATTCCATTTCCTTCTCGGCCATTTGATTGTTCATCGACCACCAAATCCTATCGAGTATTTGTATCAACTCCTCGACGATTGTATATTATTCAGATCAGGATTTAAAGGGCCACGATTATTTTGGATGGAAAGGTATACTTAAAGACATTATATTTAAAATAATATCGCGTTTCATTTCAATTTTAACATCAGACACATCGAGGCGGTATTCCAAAAGGTCAGTACCGGTACCCCGAATCTTCTATCGGAAAATCGTTACAAAACTGCAATGAAAATTTTGGGTATACCCTGTCGTAATATTTGTCCCGAGGAACGTGCGCCTGGACACGTAGACAAGGAAACATTTTGCGCGGAGGCGTGAGCATTTCTTCCTTTATTTCTCTCGTCGAACCATATTTACTAAGCTATAATTCATTTCAGATTGAACAGCATGGAAAATGAATTCGCTCGTATCATAAGGCCAGCTAATCGACGCGGTTCCCCCGATTGCGTCTGCGACACGTTCGACGTATAAGGACAGTTTAGGATAGTAAAATAAGTGCAACTAGTATAGTAAGAAAGAAAGGAACGACGACTACAGTTCCAGAGTCTCAGTCCATAGGAAGTGGAATACCTTGTCGTCCTAAAAGACTCGTAACGAAAGGAAACGGAAAGGGAGAGAAAAAGATAGGAAACGATAATGGTAGCTGGAGGGGAGGAAAGAGAGAAGAAGGGTGAGAGTCAAAAGACGAAGCGAGTCGAGGCGAAACGAGTCGAGTCGAGTCGGAGCGAACAAACTAACGACTATCAACGTGAAAAGAATAACAGGGAAGGGAGAAAGCGGACAACGGAATACTGGAGAAAAATAATCTTGTATATACGAGTGTAAACCAGGCTTTACGACACCGATTACATTATTTCGATAGAGAACAACCAGTTTTTTACTGCGTTCGACGCGCTGCAAGCATGATCCTTCGGCTACGTTCGATCTGGTTAGTTGTGCATAAACGATCGTACGATCGCGCGACTGGAAGGTTCAGTGCAGAAACGAGAGCGAGCATTTCGCAAGAGTGAACCGCGCAAGGACGTTATCAATTCGTTTGAACATTTATACTGGGACATTCCTTCTGCGTATCGTTCGACGATGGTGATCAATTCTGAGAATAGTTACCCGGAGCTGGTAATATAATGGCGATGGAATCGCGTTAGAACGGTGAAAGCCCTGTATCTAAGGAGCTAAGAGAGAAGATAAATCCTGGTGTAGATTTAAATACTCTCTGCACCCCTGTCGTTTAAAAAACGATTTCCTCGAAGAGTTTCTTCAAAAAGAAACCCACTATGAGAATGTCTTTCGAGCTGGACAAATAAACTCGAAATCGAAAGTCTAATTATTATTATTATATACATATATGTATGTATATATGGACGAGAGGAAGGAAATTGAAATGTACCAGGAAATTTAGTCGAAGCTAAAAGCGAAAAACAAGGATGCTTACGTTCATCGCTCGTTCAATGCTTTTGCTATTCTCATTGCTGCTTATTAGCATCGTGTCATCGGCCCCAACCTACGAACATGTTGCGCTCCAAACCACCGCCGACCAGTGCGACTGGATCGGAAGGTTAGTATTCTTTGTTTCATCGGTATCAGCATTTTTAATCGACGTAGCTTTTAAAAATACTTTTCTACTTTTTTTTTTTTTATTTTACGGCTCGTCTTTCGTGCCCTCGTCAGATGAACAGGCGACAATTCAACCGTAATTTTATCCAGCGATTTACGAGGACGATATCTCGTATTTCTTTCTCTTTCCCCCTTTCGATCCTTGGTATCTGTAACGCAGTTTGATAACGGGGAACGAAAATGTGTACCATTATTAAACGCGAAACCAGTCGCGCGACTTAACGTGAAACCGGTTCTCCATCGTCCAGTCGGTCTACAAGCAAAACGGAGAAGGAACGCGCGAGCTAGCATTCGATTTATCATCTCTTTCCATTCTAAGAAGGAACGACACAACCGGGGTATGCATACGTGTATGTGTGAGTGAAATGAAACGGGAGAATGGTTACGTGGCCAACCACGACCGCGGTAGCAACAACATTAACAACTGTCATTGTCATAAACACAGAATTTAAAAATCCTAGAAACAATATAAATCAATCTTATACGCAGGAAGGTTCTGAAAATTATTTCTGTTAAACTTTGCATCAAATGGTTAATGAATAAATAAATATTCTTTATTTATATTGCAGCGGGGGCGGTGGCAGAGGAGTTCGACCGGTGTACCTCCGATGTTCAAGGGGCACCGTACTCTGGCGCTATCCAAGGGGCGCTCTGAGGGTAGTTTTATCCCCCCCCGTATCGACCGGATTCATTTCCAAAGTCCACTACGAATTCATTGGGAAAAAGAACAAGTACGATATCAGGAAGAACAACGTCAGCTCGTTCGACGACGACAACGCCTTTCGGTTATCCGGATTTCGTACCTGCACTAAGGTGTCGGGTTCGATAAGAGTATACTTAGAGACTCATGGAAAACTACGACCGGTGTATTCACCAAGGGACGGCAAGCACAAATCAACGCACAGGTGTTTCCGCGCGAAGAAACAACCCGCGGCGCTTTATATAGAGGCAGAGGAGCCTGGTATGACCGGTGAACGTCATCAGGATGCGAAGTTGCAATACGATTTGGAATTGCGTTACGTGGACGATCGAGAGGGAAGATCGCAGCTGTTCGGCGAAGAGGAAGAAGAGGATTGCCGACCCTGTTCCATGGACGAATTGGCTAAAGCTTATTGCCAGAGCGATTTGGTAGCCAGAGGTACCGTCAGCGCCGTTCAGAAGCAGCCGAGTTTGGAGGCTGCCGAACTCGTCCTTGGTGTAACCAAGATCTTGCGTCGAATCGAAGAGAACGAGGTACCATGGTTGTCTACCACCTCCTACCTTCTTGCTACTTTCACCAATAACTGAAAAATAACACTAGTACTAGTACTGGTCTAGAATAATGTAACGCGATTGTTATCGTTTGTTGCCGAGTAAAACTGAAAGAGAAAGCACGCGGTAATATGCGATTGGTATAACATTTTTTGGTTTTGATTTTTCAGGGCAGCAACGATGCGGACATAAGCGAATCGTACGACCGAAGGAACGTTCGCGTAAGGGTACCAACCGCCTGTGACGCTCGCCACGGTCAGGGGGAATTTGTGATAATGGCCAAACGGCGACTCGGTGATCTCGTTCTCGTTTGTGCACCGAGGCTCGAGACTTGGGTTAAAGCGGTCCACGAACTGGACACTGCACCCTGTGTACTTCGAAGTTAGCGAGTTACCGCTAGCCAGAAGTTTGCAACCAGATGTTTGTAAATACTTTATATTTTTCTATTTTTTACGATGCAAATTATCGATCTCCGAACTGTGATATTGTTTTGTAGAAATTTTATCGCAACAAATATATCCGTATCTGAAAGTCAATCGACGTACCGAATCCTCTACGACGTTCCGTTTTGACATGAAAGTGAAAATTATTTAGGGATTCGATTAATTATCCAGGCGAGTAGCAGCTTATATGATTTTCTTTTTATATAGTATTTCGTACTCGCATACAAGAATTCCATAAATAAATTTTACTGGTACGCTTGATCGTTCAGTTCAGTTTCATTACACGTTCGTTACAAGCGTTAATTACACGTTGAAAATATGCAACAGATACGCGGTTACATGGACGTAAAATCACAGCGTAAAAACGTAATTTTTAATCGCACACTCGGAACAAACTTTTTTGACATGGTATTATATTATTACACGATAGAATTTTCGCCAAGAAACAAGGACGATTAGAATAAATGCGCAATTTTACGGCCAACGTCGACTAGATCGATTCACAACAATTATCCCGTACGTCTCTCTGTATCCGTCAGTCGTCAAGAACGACCGTAGGCAGAAAGGATAAACGATCCCGCAGCAAACGTTCTAACGGACAACGAGGCGCATGGTCCCAAAATGATCAAAGATCAAAAATACTTTAAAAATATTTAAAAAGCTATCGAGATAGGTGTAGATACACCGTGTATCTGAACATAACGAAAGGAACATCTCGTGGCGAATATCATTAATTCTTCACTGGCGGTACCTACGTTGCGTTCGTAACGATTTAAACAGGACGTTCGATGTTCTTACCTTAACTCTTTAACCAGGAAACGACTACCGCGTAGTCGTATAAGGATAATTAGGACACAACGGCACAACGAGATCGTCCATGTTCGGTAAAACGACAAGCTTTTCAAACTCCCTGAGTAACTTCGCTTCTATCCATTTGGTTACGTAAACGATGTTTACCGTTCTCTCACCGACCGCGGGTTTTACTGTAAGGGTTACTTTCGGCACCGGTTTGAAACCGTACCATAAACGATCGGACGGTGCCGGCGGAATGTTCACGGACAGAGAACCTTCTATGCTAGAGACGGTAACCATCAATCGGATCTCCGTATTAGAGACACCCTCCATGGCTCTTCGGACGTAAGACAATTCAGTCGCCTGATGATTAAAAAAAGAAACAGATATTTATTAATCAGTCATTGGGAACTGAAGTAAAGATTAAACTCACATGTTGAAAGTATTTATTAGCAGCTATTTTGTCAACCATGCTAAGAAACTTTCTCCCAGACGATTGTGTAGCGCTATAAAGAAAATATGAAAATAATTAAATGATACTAATGCTGGTTTCTTTACGATTATACTATGTTATTATTGCTTACGTTGTTTCTTTGGCTGTGTTGCACAATCGAGTCGTAGAATCATCCTCGTCCTCTGTTGAGGTTTCCGGGGTGTCCTCTAAGTCGCTATCAAAAATCGCTGACCTAACGATCGACTCGTCTTTCTCTGTAGGAACAATAACGTTACTGTTACTTGGAACCGAGCCGGTTCTCGTTAGTTTCATCAGGTTCAATTTCGTTTCGACGGTCATTGTTAAAGATCCTTTGTACATTATATCAAAATCCAGCCAAAGACCTCTCTCGTTGATTATCGGTTTCGTTATGTTACGTATCGTGGGCGCTCCTTGACCTATCGTCACCTCCGAAACTAAAAGGCACTCCATAAAGTAGGGTAGTTTTATGCTAGACAGTTTCCGTTGTATCTTATCCTGTATAACGTTTATAGTTTCCGGACACCTATGTATATCGAACAGCACGCGAGCTATTAAACAATTGAACCAAAGTGTATTGTCGGTAGTGGCGGAGCTGGAGTTCTCCAGCTTGCTCGTGCAACCATTTGCGTCCAGGTATTTAGCCATGTAAGCATTGTAACTAAGTTCAGGCACGCATTTCTCGTGCGAGCTGTTGGCGGAAAGGGAACCCTTTGATTCCGCGATGACGTTCCTCTGAGCTGTTAACGATGCATTCGACGCCGACGACGCGTTCACGTTAAAGGACAACGAATCTTGCTTCTTAACGCGTCGAGACGCGGCTGAAATTAGACGCCTGTACCAATCCTCCTTCTCACGGTCAGCCCTGGCGAAAACAAATATTTTTAATTCGTTTCTCTGCTTGGATTTCTTGTTCAATTTCTTAAATGTACTTTTCAGTTCTATTCTCTCTCCTTTTTCCGCATCGATACCGCAGTCATTGTCATCGTCGGTCATCTTTGCTTCGTTACCGTTTCCTTTGTCTACCTCGTCAAAGTCTTTTCCCTCCTCGTTCACCTGTTGCAGCTCCTCGTCTACTTCATCATCATCGTCGTCTTCATCCGCGTCATCTTCGTCGTTATCGTCGTCATCGTTGTCATATTCATCGTCGTAGTCATCGTCATCGTCGTAGTAATCTCTCTCCGCGTCTACTTCATCGTAGTCCAAAATGAACTCATCATAATCCACCTCCTCAGCCTCTTCGTCTTCTTCTTCCTCCTCCTCATCTTCCTCCTCATCTATATCCAATTTATTCCCTACCATCATTTCCATTTCCACGTTCTTATCTTCCTTTTCATACCTCTCCTCTGGATTTCTTCCTTTTTCCTTTTCTTTCTTGCTTTCCTCTTCCTTCTCATCCAGCTCTTTCTCCTCCCCTTTCCAATTCATTCTGAAACTTTTCTCAACCTTCTTTCTTCTTTTACGTAAGTTCCTCCGTATTCTGTTGAATTCTTTTTGCTGGCCCTTTTTGTAACACCTACCCTTTCTTTTTCTCTCCTCCTCTACCATGTACTCCGTTACTCCTTCGTTCTTTAAAAAACATTCCTCGTATTCTATGTAATCATTGTCAATGTCATCGTTATTCGTGTCGCAATTGTAATAAGAATCTTCACCTTCATCTTCCACATCTTTCTCCTCGTCCTTCCTTTTACCTTTCGTCGATTCATCACCCTCTCCGTCGACTAAACTTTCCTCTCCCCAATTTCCCACGCGTTTCCTATCAACTTTGTATTTCACCCGCCCTTTCGATGCTCCCTTACGATAATAATCGTTGATCGAATACTCCTCGTTGATCGAACTTTTCAATGTAACGTTACAAATCAGAGCGCCCTTCTTCAGAGTTATGCAAATTGGATACTTTTTACTCCATCTTCTTTTTCTAGCTAATCCATAGGGTACCAGTTCTATCCTTGCCCCAGCCAAGTTGTACACCCTTCTTCTAACGAATTTCAATTTCTGTTTAGGTTCGTCCCAGACAGCCTTCTTCGGTATCTTCATCCTCGTTTCCATGATACGCAATATGTTTCCTTCCAATCTAAAAAATACCGATTTTGTACGCGCCACGTGATAATTGTTCGGTTCGTAATTATAGGGCAATTCGTTCAACCAGCCTTGGAATCTTTCGATCACAGAATGCTCTTCCGCCGCTGGTATCTCTAGGACAGGTATTATCGTAGGGGAATCGAACTTTTCGTCTGGCATTGTTGTCAATACTCGTTGAAACTCCGTTAACGTACTGCAAAATGTAATCGTCGCGATGATACCCATTATAAATCCAAGTAAATATTCTGGTAAAGGAGCTACGTGATAAATAGAAAAAATGGCAATGAAAATGGCGACAGACTTGTACGTCGTTTGCAAGATCAACTGTTTCATCAAGCGTAAAAATACTGTTTTCAAATCTATTCGCTTTGGAGACGCAGCGAAACGCGTACAGGGCTGATGCCGTAATTTAGCATAGTCGTCCTCCCTGTTGGAAGATGCTTTTGCCGTTGAAAAATCATTTTCCGGACAGGAAACTATGTCCTCGTTTACGCTTTGAGCAAATTCCGAGGCTTCGACGCCGCTCTCCACCGATTCGTCTTGCAAACTTTTGTCCTTTAAACCAGTCTTTACGTCGGAGAAACCTACGTATCTAACAGGATTACCTCTTTGGTGACGACCCATCATCGTAGATGACTCCTCGTTTACCTGTTTACCTTCTTGCTTTTTCTCGCAAGGAGTAACGCTACCTTGTGTCTCCTCTAGATCGCTCGAACTTTCTGCTTTCGAGTGGCGCCGTTTCTTTTTATCGCTCTTTATCTCGGACAGTTTCTCCTCGAACGTTTTCGTTATCCTTCCTTTGAAATCTGATAATACTTTCCATGGATCTAACGAGGGCTGTGTACCCTCCGGTAATACGTTCTCTGTACCGACAGATCGAGTCTCAGAATTATTTTCCGAAACATCCGATTCGTGTACACACCTCTTTTCGATGCGTTTCGACGAGGTTGAGGTTACTTTTGATACATTCGTTTCGCACTCCGGTGTCAGCCTTTTCTCTTCCTCGGAACTTGGATATATCTCCTCCAATTCATCGTCGCTGGCATGATAATGGATCACAGGAACAGATGTCGTGATAGGTTTACCTTTTCGAAAGAAGAAACAACGAAACACATAAGTATCAATTATTGCGTACTGTCACGTCACGATTGCATTTTGCATAACTTCGTCAAATATTTATGGCTTTGATTTTTTTTCTCACCTTTTATCATGGCCAGCGTCACTTTTCTTGGACTCTGTTTGGTATTCATGATTTTGCCGAATCTTTCTTTATTTCGATGATCGATCAATACGTGAACATTATTAAAAATTATAATGCGAAGAATCTCAGCTATCCTGTAGTTTCACACGATCGATGCGTAATTCCGTGTTAAAATTACACGAAATCATCGTAACAGATTCGACAACAGACGACAACAACTGACAACAATAATCAGATGACTCCGTATTTTATCGACGCGTTTATCTTCGAGCCGTCTTTTTATGCGCAATTGATCGTAATCAGCAAGTTTTAACGATATCCCACGTCAAATTTCACGTTTCATAATTTGATAAAGACATCTTTAATAAATTTCAAGCATAAAGACCATAGCACGAAATTAAAAAACTATCAAATCAGTGATAACATTGGAAGGTCCTGTTTCTATACGTTTTTACAAATTGACCTTTCCACGCGACCGCCTTAAACTTTATATTTTTTTTTAAATTACAGTTTATTTCGGGCACCTATGTACAGACAATTGTTTTTTAAATTTTATATCATTCGATTTCATTTCGATCTTTCAAATTTAAATACGTTTACAGGTAGTTTTTAAATAAAGAAACTCAGAATTCCCTGGTGTACGATCTCCACACAAGATGGCGGATCGATCGCAACGTGTTCGAGTTTGGAAACGTCTCTTTAAACCGACAATTCGATGTCTATCGCGTTGGAAGTGTTCCCCCTTGACGTTTGACGTTAGGAATAATTATCGAACAAGTTGTAAGGTTTCGCCAGAATAAAAATGGTGTAAGGAAAATTTGTGTGAAAAAAGATGAGCAGGATAGCGAAGATGGCCTGTCCTGGAGGTGGCTTGTACGTCCTCGAGGGCGAAGTCTGCCTCTTAGCGACGGCTATGAAAAGGGGTACTCGTTGGTCTTCCCATTCCCATCAGGTTAGATTAGTTTTTAAATTGTTCATCTCGAAAGAAAACGTGTCGTCATATACCCATCGTAATTTTCACTTATCCTCATCAATTACCGTCATCAATTATCGTCACGTTTGTGTAAGGTTAACGAACGGATTCATCATTAACAAATCAAACAGGTTGTAGCGAATAGTTTGGCATGGTGATCGGTTCAATTAAACGATCCTTACAAATTATTCACCTTTGTATTTATATTTACACATGATTATTTTTAAAGGACGACGACCAGGATGCTCTTCTGAAAGGACTCTGCACTCTGAAAGAAGCTTTGAACGAAGCGAAAGATCTATCTTATTTGGAACCAGGAGTGTTTTTAGCTCCGTTTTTAGAGATTATAAGATCGGAGGAGACAACCGGGCCTGTTACGAGCCTCGCCTTGTCCGCAGTGAATAAAATCATATCCTACGGTCTGATTGGTGCGTAGTATGCCACAACTTTTGAAGAAAGGTATATTTCAATGATGTATATTAAAATGATCTAACTGCAGATCCTGATCACCCAGCGATAGCGCAATGCGTCGAAGCTGTAGCGGATGCTGTTACGCACGCGAGGTTCGTTGGTACCGATGCCTCCGGAGACGGAGTCGTTCTGATGAGAATACTTCAAGTTTTGAGGGCCCTTATGTTATCCGCGGCTGGAGATTCCCTTTCGAACGAAAGTATCTGCGAGATTATGCTCAGTTGCTTTAGGATATGTTTTGAGACGCGTCTCAGCGGTAAGCAGATTCGACGGACTTAAATTGTTCCTCGATCGTTTGTCGATATCGTTCGTTTGGTTGTAGAGTTATTGAGGAGAACTGCCGAGCACTGTTTAAGGGACATGGTCCAGCATCTTTTCACTAGATTGCCACAATTCGCAGACGACACAAGGGTTCTGTTAAACATGAAGGTAGCATAATCATTTGTCTTTTAATCGAGGGCTAGAATGAATGAATTAATGAAATATAAATTGTCTCAAATTTTAAGTTAAAATACTTAAAGTTAATCCCAGGGACGATAAGACTATAGAATTTTATATATTAATAATTTATAACGGGTATAACGTTTAGATGTGTTGCTCATTTCTATAGAAAATGAGGACAAACAGTATGGAGAGCGGTCGCAGCAAAAACAGAAGAAACAAGAATCATTTGAAACAAAAGGCAAAATCGAGCGCGGATAATGTAGGTGATAGCGAAAGTCAGCTTCAAAGTCCTGTCGATAGAGTGAGACCGAGTCATTTGGCGACAACGCCTGTTACTACCGCAGGAAATATTGTCGACATGCAAGGTGCTTTAGATCATGGGGCTGCAGAGAAAGCGGACGAGGAAAAGAATGTTAACAAAGATAAAAAGGATCCGAACGACGTGGGTGAAATCAGGAAGCAAAAAGACGAGTCGAACGCGAAGATAAAGAGGGAGGATTCGAAGGATATACCGCGGTGTAAGGAAGGTAACGACGATACAGAGAAGGAAAGAGGCAGCTCCGTGGAAAAGGAGCAAGTTTTACAGGAAGAAAATAAGAGTATAGAGAAAGAAGAGGTGGACGAACAGAACGAAACCGAATTGAAGAAAACGGATGAGTCCAAGGACGAAGGTCAAGGTAGGTATTAGTTTGTTGCGATACCGATACCATTACGGATGAAGAAATATCGTTATCGATAATAATTTCACAGAGGGTCGGTCGGTGGAGGATGAAAAGAGTACAGATTTAATAACATCTCCAGCTGGAAGCGTGGAAGATTTATCAGTGGATGAAAGTACAAATGGTGCGTCTAAGACGTCGAAAACAAAGGATCCGGAACAAGTCGAGGAGTATATAAATGCTCAAGGAGTACGCTTTATGTCGCTCCAACAATTATCCCCTTACGGTGCTCTGTGCGCCCGTGAATTATTTAGGTTCCTGGTGTCTTTGTGCAGTCCTCTCGATAAACAGAATAACGAAGTTATGACACATCTCGGCTTGAGTTTGTTGCAAGTGGCTCTGGAGATCGCTGCCGATGCCTTTTCGAATTTTCCCTCGTTACTCGCCCTGGTGAAGGACGATCTTTGCAGGAATCTTATTCTGGTAAGGATACGGTGTTCCTGTATTTATTCATTATGTGTAGGCAAAGAAATTGATACAGAGGACGCGCGATAATCGCGATCGTATTTATTAGCTTCTTGGCACAGATCGATTGTCGATCCTTGCAGCGGATCTGCAGGTCTCCTTCCTGCTGTTTGAATCACAAAGGGAGCATTTAAAATTTCAAATGGAACATTACACAAACAAATTGATGGAAATAGTGAGCTCCGATTCGAACAGGATATCGTACGATCAACGAGAACTAGCGCTCGGTATGAATTCTATTAAGTTGGAAACTATTTCAAATCAGAGCCACGTGATTTTCATCTTATTTTTCTTTAATTTTAGAGGCAATCGTCCGATTATGGAAAATACCTGGCTTACCAGCGGAATTATACTTGAACTATGATTGCGGTTTATATTCTACCAACTTGTACGAAGAATTAATGAAATTATTATCGAAGGTAGGTTGGTATTTATTTGTAAAATAATGAACAACTTTAGACTCGAATAAAAAAACGGCAAGTTATTCTACATTGTTGATAGAATGCTTCCGCGTTGATGGGAAATATGCACAATATGCAGTTCATTTCTTTGGACGCGATAATTGCGTTGATCACTGGTATGGAGATCAGATGTAAAGGATACAAGGAATTGTGCAAACCTTCTCGACACAATGCTTCACCGAATCTTCCCTCGCGAGAAGAGTTACTTTCTATAAAGGCGAACAAGCGGGTATGCGGATAATTGCAACGTTGCTTCATTTCATTGTTGTTCGGTAAAAACAATCGTGTAACAACTTTTTATCGATGTTAGTGGCTGGTACTAGGCACGGAGAAATTCAATGAAAATCCACGGGAAGGGATTGCTAAACTCACAGAGCACGGTCTCTTGGGTGGGAGTCCGGGTAGTCCGGATCCAGAGAAAGTAGCGAAATTGTTGAAGGAGAATCCTGGGCTGGATAAGAAAGCAATCGGAGAATACATTAGTAAAAAGGAGAATAAGAACGTCTTAAATTGTTTCGTTCATAATTTCGATTTGAAAAACACACGAATCGATCAAGCGTTGCGGCTTTATTTGGAATCCTTTAGACTCCCCGGGGAAGCGCCGCTTATCTCGTTGTTGCTTGAAAAATTTGCGGAACATTGGCACGTGAGTACGTCTTGCACAAGCGATATACTTACCTAGGCAAGCGATTCGGTGAGGACGTCGCAAGAACGAACGAATGAACGAATGAATGATCATTATTTGCAGGATAGCAATGGAAAACCGTTCTCTTCGGCAGATGCCGCGTTCACTTTGGCGTACGCTGTGATCATGTTGAACGTTGATCAACACAATTACAATGTAAAACGGCAAAACAATCCCATGACTGCGGACGAGTTTAAAAGGAATTTAAAAAAGGTGAACGGCGGTGCTGACTTTGACCAAGATATGCTGGACGAAATATATTATTCTATCAAGTAAGGAAGTGAGAGAAAGAGAAAGAGAGAGAGTAAGGAGCGGCATACGTTAACACACGTATCGTTTTCTTTCGCGTTCTCTTGCAAACAATAACGAAATTGGAATTGTTCATCGAGATTCTATGGTGTACTAATTCATTTTATTAGGGGCGAGGAAATCGTGATGCCTGCCGAACAAACCGGCTTGGTGAAAGACAATTACCTCTGGAAGGTGTTGTTACGCAGAGGCGTCGGCCCTGAAAGTACGTACCTAAGAGTAGGAAATACAGGTGAATTCGTGGACAAGGAATTGGTCGAACAAGCGTGGGCGCCCATCGTGAGCGCCCTTTGCAGAGCGTTCGACAAAGCACCCGATCGATCGTTGCAACGTCGAGTTGCCGAAACATTTCTCCGGTTCGTTACGTTGCGTATAGATTCTGGAAAGAAGAGATAAATGGTAACGTTGTTATTTTTTTTTTTCATTTCAGTTGTGCTTCCATCAGTGCTCATTTCGGTATGAGCAGCGATTTAGACACGCTGGTAGTAAGTCTGTGCAAATTTACGGGTCTCGCGACCGGTGGAGAACCCGACCAAGTGGTGCTACAGCTAGGCGGAAGCGGCAAGTGCCAGTTGGCTGCTCGTACTGTGTTCACGATAACACACATGTACGGGAACGCGATGAGAGCTTCCTGGAAGAACATCATCGATTGCTTGCAGTCGTTGTACAAAGCAAGATTGTTGCCAAAGAATCTGACGGAAGGGGAAGATTTCCTAGATTCCTCTGGAAAGGTGTCGCTTCTTCGAGAAACGGCTACGCCGAAACCAGCTCCGGTTGATCAAGGAATATTGTCAAGTTTGTATTCGTACATAGCTCTGGATACGTCTCGAATGACGCATCCCGCTGAGACGACAGCGAGGAAAAGGGCCATAGAATTTATCAACAATTGTTACCTGCGACAAGTGATCGAGGAGAGCAGATTCTTGGAAGTGGAGTCCCTTCGGTCGATGGTCGGAGCTTTGGTGTTCGTTAACTGTCACGAGGAAGACGTCTCTGTATTTCTACTGGAATTGCTGTTAGAAGTGACCATTCAGAATCGCGATCGAGTTACATGCATTTGGCCGATCGTTCAAGCTCATCTGGACGGGTTGCTGACCAGCGCAGCGCGAGAGAATCATCCCTATCTTTTGGAAAGGGTGGCCGTTGGAATGCTGAGGCTAGCGATTCGATTGTTGCGAGGAGAGGAATGCGCGTGGACCGTACTGCCGTCTCTGTTACCGTTAACACATCTACCTTCGGTGAGCAGCGCTCCGCTTGCCCGGCAGATCGCTTACGGTCTGTTCGAGCTGCTTAAAACTGGCGCGGCGAATATCCACAGCACGGAAGATTGGCGGGTGGTGTTCAATCTGCTGGAGTGCGCTGGCGCTGGAGCGTTATCGCCGAAACAGTCTAACACGGTGTTGGACGAAGCGAGCAGCTGTAGAACGTCGGTGTTGGATCCGAGACCGATCAGCCCGGTGCCTGAGTGGGTTCTGGTGTCTCCAACGGGTACAGAAGCGCCGTTGCCCGTCGCTGCCGACACGATAGTGCTCGACCGGGACCTGCAGCCTCACGATCCTCACGCTCTGATCAAATGCTGCGAGAGCCTGATGTTCCTGGTCCGCGACGTAGCCCATGTAACGCCCTTTAACTTCGAACTGTGCATTCGTTGCGTGAGAACGTTCGCCGAGGCGGTCCTCCTGTGTTCCGGTAAAAGGACCAAGATGCACGGTGGGAGCGAGGAGCCGGCTGGCTATCAACAGACCCCCATTCAATTATTGGATCTGATGCACACGCTGCACACGAGAACCGGCCAGGTGTTTCGCTGGTGGGCCGAAGAGGGCAACACGATGGAGGGAGTATCGCTTTGGTCGCAAGCGTGGAGACCTTTGTTGCAGGGTATCGCGAGATTGTGCTGCGACGCCCGCAGACAGGTTCGTACAGCAGCGATCACCTATCTTCAGAGCACTCTGCTTGCTCACGATCTAGCTCAATTATCCGCGGTCGAATGGTCCCAATGCTTGGAGCAGGTGTTGTTCCCTTTGCTGGCACAGTTGCTGGGACCGATCGCCTCCAACGATCCCATCGGCGTCGAAGAGACCAGAGTCAGGGCGGCGATGCTGTTGTCCAAGGTGTTCCTTCACCATTTGAATCCTCTGTTGACCCTTCCAGGCTTTCTACCATTGTGGTTGACGGTGTTGGACTTGCTCCGCGCCTATATGCACGCGGACAATAGCGAGCTCCTTTACGAAGCCATACCAGAGTCGTTGAAAAATATGTTACTGGTGATGTCCTCGGCCAACGTGCTGGCTCCAAATTCGAATCTCTGGGCGCCGACCTGGAGAACCATCGACGGCTTCTTGCCAAACTTGAAAGCGGAACTGTTCCCGGAACCGGCACCCTCGTCACCGCCGCCTCCACCTCCTCCTCCACCACCCTCGGAGCTTTCGCAGCCCTCGCAACCTACACAGACTCAAGAGAACACCGCACAGGTGATCAGTTTGGTCGAACAACAGCAACCATCCTTCTCTGGATCGATAGCGCCTCAGCCGGAAAAGAACGGATCGCTCGATCCAAGTAGGATCGCATCGTTGCCTGGTCAAGAGTCGGATGCGAAATCGACCGTGTCTTTAAAAGAAGCTGCCAGACCTGATACTCTACCGATTCCGATACCTCTAACGCGTCTACCGTTCGACAAGAACGGCAAAGAATCGCAACAGGTGATCACGTTGGTCGCTCAACAACCACCGATCGTATCGAGTCCGGTTGCAGTGCAACCGGTCGTGCTCGCGACATCTCCAATCGACGCGTCCAGGAATGTAAACGATTGGTCCAGTGCCGACTCTGGAATACAACGACCGTCGCGAATACCGGTGGAATCGGATCCCGAGGCTACCTTGCCAAAGATTAGTCAAAGTAACGAGCCAGAAATGATGATCGCGGCAAGTAAATACGAAGAAGAAAGGCAGCAGCATCAGCAGGTTTCGTTAGAATCGCAATCTATACCGTTATTACCACAAAAGCAACAATTCCAAAACGCTGGAGTAGCAAATTTTTCCCTTCGTACGAACTCGTCCGAGGTAAATGATTGTTTTGCACATTATCAAATGCGTAAATCGGCAATAATCGATTGTTACATCTTCTTTACAGACGACGAACTTGGATTCCGCGGCAGCGATGTTTAATTCTGCAGCGTATTTCAGCGAAGATCCAGCGGCTGATCGATTGTTCGCCGTCACTAACCCTTGACCACTGTACATTCGCTATGTATATTGTATCATTTCCACGGAAGAGAAATTTTCGAGCGTACTTTTAACGAAAGAATAATCGATAGATAGAATCTTGTCTTGTACATTTGGCATTGCGATATATTAATAACAGTAGTATATCACAATGAATATTTAATATTACTTATTATATATACACACATGCTCACGCACCCTCTTTCCTTTGCTTCATACATTCGACAAAAGAGAGAGAGAGAGAGAGACACACATGTAAATGTTATATACATTATACACACACCTATATATACATATACATACCCACATATAGACACGATTGTACATACAAATAATTTTTTTTTTTTTCAAGGTACACACTATGCACGCATGATTCCTTGGAACGCAAGTGACTCTCGAGCTTTAAATGTACACATTCTTCTACCTGTACATTTGTTAAGTGGTAAACGCGGTAAGAGGCAGACAAAATAAATTGTCCGTACTACCTATAGTTTAATTTACAGTTTCTTCTGGTTTCTCATTGAATCATGCAGACGTGACGCAAGTTGCACGCACACAGGAACGAGCGACAGCTATAATTAGTTGACAGATAGAAGACGCGGTCGTTTCAGAAACGATTTCGATGCGCTTCGCTATCCGTCATTCGGCAACTTTTCTTCCTCTGCGCCTCTCTTTCTCTTCCGTTCTGCTTATTTATAAGAAATCGATCGGGAAAGAAAAATAGAGGTCGGCTTTATTGGTCTTTTCGACAATAGTAACCGAGAGTTTTACATTTTTGGCATAGGTGCTGTGGATGAACTTTGCTCTGATCGGACACGTCCAATCCGTCCGGTTTCTCCAGCGGCCTCTGAAAACACGCGAAACGTTAGAAGATCACGTTCGTCTCCGCTGAATCTCAATCGCCAGGCGGCGGAAAATAGTTTTAACGTAGCTGCCAAAGGTACTCGTGTTTTGAAACTTTTGCTCCCCTACTAAAAATAATACGCTGCCACGAGGAAGATTGTTATCGCTATGGCAACACACGCTCGCCGGAATATCGTACCTGTTTATGAGGGAAGACGTTTACGTGACACTTGATACATTCTTGGCCCATATTGGCCCAGCTGTTGCCCGACATCCATTTGCGTTTACACTTTGGGCATTTGTACTCTCCGAAGCAACGTTTCTTCCCCTGGTACGGTGTCAGACCCTCGCCCTTCGGCCGTCCCTACAATGGAAAGACCGAGACACGTTTCACGCTAACGTCAAAGAGTTGGCATAATAAGAGGCGACACTCTGAGAGAGAAACTACTTGTAGAGAGAGACAAAGTGATACAACCCATTTATAGGTCCGTTCGGTAATCTTTGTTTTCAGCCGTGAACAGACGTGAATTGTTTGTATTGTGGATTTACATACATATAATTCATTTCAGGAGAGTCCATAAGTACGAAAAGACCAGTTTTCGTTCTCTCCTGCGCATCTTCGCCCTGATTGGCGATACCCCCACTCCCATACGCATGCGCAGAGCGCCGCTAAGGCGCCTCCACGCTGTGCATCTACGCGAAAGTGCATCATTTGGAGTGTATAACGGGTAGCCACAGGATATTCACGTGTATCATTCTGTATTCTCGTGAAAGAACGGAACTAGACACGTTTTTAGATGAAAAGTCGCGATTATCGGAAATTTTAATTACTTGTAACTTATTTGAATCTACGAAAGACATTATAGGCTCACATAAAGAAGTTGAAAAATTGCCTTTTACTATTATTTTACTATTAATCGACAAAGGCATATATCTTAGTAAATTAATTTGTATAGCTTCTCGAGAAACCTGAAGTCATTTGGTCCAATTTTAAACGGGTACATTTTTGTACTCGTATACGTACTTATATACGTTTTATATAAGTGAACAAATAATTTAGATAAATGAGAATAAATATTTTTGATCTTATGTGCTTGTTCTTTAGCAATTGCAGGTCCATCGCATCAGGGAGACATTTCATCATTCGGCTTTCATGCCAACATCGATATCTGCAGGTACACCGAGGAAGCGTATGCTCGAAAATAGAATTTCTTATTTAGAACGCGAAAATTTCGAATTAAAAGCGGAAGTGCTAGAACTTAGAAATAACCAGTCTAGTTTAAGTACATTTCAGCGTTTATGTAAAAAATTTGTATCCTCAAAAATGTAAATACTTCGATTAATAATGTATAGAAAAATTGATGACGCGAAAAGGTTTCTAGTTATGTATTAAAGATTGTCATGAAAAGAACCCATTTAAAGGGACAGCGAATCATCGACATCAAAGGTGCCATCGGGAGTGTCGCCTCTCTTATACCTCCTCTTTGCTAACGTTCTAATTAACGCGCGTTAGTCATCCGCGTATTTTAAGAAGCGACTCGGCACGTCGCGTGGACACAGGCTGCATGGTTCGACCCACCGGCTGCACTCTCGACAAGAAGAATGAATTCGCGTTGAATCGACCACAGTGGAATCTCGTTGGTTAGCAAGGATAAAGCGATAGAGAAATAAACAGCGAGTATTGGCTCCATTCGAGCGCGCACCTGTGGGCAATCTTTGATGTAGTGACCTTTGTTGAAGCAGAGGTGGCAAAGATAACTGGGCGGAGGTCTTTTCGTCGGCTTCCTGTCCAATAGGCTGAGATCCGTGAAACGCTCCGCAAGATCGTCGCCGATGTTCTCCGTGAAACTACTCGCTATCCCGGCGGAGGAGCCGAGCGTTTGAACCCGTTGCAAATAGCTGTGCGACCTGGTTGCTGGAAATCCGTTCCAGATACCCGGCAGCAGTTTGCTCTGAAGCGAGAAGAACCAGGCGTACGAATCGTTTGAAGATGAACAGTGAATGGAAATGGAAACGCGCGATGCCGCGGACGTTTCCGTGCCTCTACCTGATCCGGCGACGGGACATTGTGATCGGCGATCGCGAGATAGATCCAATTGAGCAAATGCGGCGAGTAGTGGGTCCGTTGGACAGACTTCTGTCCCGGATTAGCGACCAGGTTGTTAACCGACCTAAGACCGAGCTGGATCGGTTCTTGAAGCTGGTGCAGCTGTTGAATCGTCGGCTTCGGATGGCAGGTGGCCATACCTGAGCCCTGGGCCCACCTAATTAACCCTTGCTCCACCCGATCCTCGATCACTTCCTACGTCGTGCGCACGATCTATCCCGGTCCTTACGGACATTTTTGGCTACCGAGGGTATTCGCATTTATCGTTGCGCCGACCGATATCTCTGTCGGAATCGCGGAAAACTTTAGCGCGCACTCGATACCACTAAATAGATACACTTCGCGTTTTTCTTCAAGGGTAACTTAACATTTTCACATCTCGTTCGTAGCAAACACACTGCTGCGTACGAATTGCCCGCAACTCCCACGTCCTACGTTTATTCGCGGAACGCCAAGATAAGCAACGCTTCTTCTCGAACCAATTTCTTCGACTCGTTTCGCCTTCTTTCGAGTGTTTGCTCGTTTTCCTCTCGAGGCTGTTACAGAGTGTCAGAGTGGGGACGTTGGTCGCGCTTCTTCCGAACATTCGACAATGTTTCCCGACGCGTGAATACGTAAAAACGCGTTCCGACGAATCTGACCGCCGCCGTCGAAGACCCCCGCCATGTGGTGCGGCTATTTCAGTTCTTGCTATCTACCGTCTAACTCGCCACGAGACACCGCGTATGCCGTATACGCTTTTCATAACGCCTTCGAGTCTTCGCCCGGATATTCTTCACGAAATCGGTCGAGAGAGGAACGAATTACTTCGGCTCGTTTATCGGCTCTAAGAGAAGGAAAGGTTTCGGATGCCTCGCAAGTTTTGGCGTTTGCGATTAGCATGCCTCAATCGTGTCTTCTCGCCTTCGATTTCACGCTCGAGCCAGACGAGCTTCGAAAACTTGGCATCCAGCCTCTCGACCTTTCGACCTTTCGAATCTGCGATAGAATTCGCGGTTTCATGGTAGCGACCCGTTTTAGCAAGATGCGAACAGGTTGTAAGTCAACCACCGATGGATTAAGGAGATCTAAAAGGAGGATCTAGAATGCAGCGATTTTTCACCGCTGAGCATTTGAATAAATTTTTATTTCAAACCATTTCCCTTGTATTCTCAAGCGTCGAATGGTATTAATCGTTTGAATCTTTCGCGCACCCCCTGAACTGAGCTGACCAGCATTACACGGCCACCAACAACCCCCACCCCATTGTTCCCCTAGAAAAGCCGCGAAAATGCGTGATAAAAACCAATTTCAGAATCTTCGAAGAGTATTACGCGTCGCATATTAATATTAAAAAGAAGGAAATTTATCAAATTAAGATGTCATTCAGTGACGAAGATATGGAAAATGAAAGAAGCGATGAAGAAAGTTATAATGACCTGTATGGAGTTCGAAATGGATCAGTTTTTGTGATAGACGCGACGCCCCCGATGTTTGAAAATGATCCGCATGAAGGAATTCCTTATTTTCTACAATGCATTAGAGTATATTACATGTATTTCATAATTTAATGTTTAATTTAGCAATATAAAGAAATCCTCAAGCAAAAGCTGTTATGGAATAGACAAGATTGGATGGGTTTGGTCCTATTTGGGACAGAAAAAGGGGATTCAGATTTAGGAATGGAACATGTTTTAACCTTGCAGAAATTCCATCCTGTATCAGTGAAAGATATAAAACAAATAATGGAAATAGGTAACTAGTTTTGTTATTACAAATAATATTACAAATAATGAAACAATAAAATAATTTTGAAATACTTTGTTTAGATGAAGGAGGCAAGTGGCGATATTACCAAAGTATTGCTTCTACTATAGCATATCCATTATATGATGCTCTTTGGCAAGCAGCAAGAGTATTTACTTCTGTCTGTGTCACTATGCCACTTAGAAAAGTACTTTTATTTACTTGCCAGGATAATCCACCAATGACAGATAACAATGAAAAACATAGAATAAGAGTAAAAATACAAGATTACAATGACGCAAACCTTCAATTATTTGTTGTTGGTTTGGGTGAAAATTGGAATCATGATTTGTTTTACAAAGATTTAGAAATGATGTCCAAAAAAATAGATCCTGATGATTATGAAAGAATGTTTTTAAAAGATATATTACAGCAAATAAAATTACCATCTAGAAATATGGCAAAACTGCCTTTGAGATTTGGAGATAATGTGAATATAAATGTATCCCTCTACAACTTTTGTGTGTAAGACAGAGTTTCATTCAAATTCATTCTGCTCATATAAACTATGTTAAATTTAAAGAAAAAAAATGGTTTTAGTAAAACAACATATCTAAGAAAGAAGAACATAAGTAAAGCAACAGCTATTCCATTAAATACACATTCATATTTACAAATAGCCAGTGATGGGGTATGTATTTTACTGTAATTTATCTTTTTATCTTACATTCTCTAATAATTTTTCTAATCTTATCGTTAATGTTGTAGATAGAATCTGAAGATGAAGAAAATGCAGTACAGCCATCTCACGTTTTAGAAATGGATGTTCAGAAATATCAAACATATGGTGGTAAAAACATACGTTTCACATTACCAGAAGAACTGTCTTTATGTAGAATGCAACAACCAGGCATTGATTTAATTTGTATGAAACCCGTTTCTTATCATCCATTGTACCATTTTGGACCTCCATATTTAGTTACACCTACCAAAAGTAGCAATAAAGGTACCAGTAGTTGCAACTTCGATGAATTATAAATGTTAGCAGCTAAATAATATTACATAAATTTGAATTTTTATTTCAGATCAAAAACTATTATTTGCAGCGTTACTTCATAAATGCGATGCCAAAGATTTAATGATAATATGTGCGGTGACGATACAAAGACGTTCTTCGCCACTTATATATGCTATGATACCGCAAATACAAAAAGGGTTTTATTTATACAATATACCATTTAAAGGTATAAGTTATTTTAGTATATAAATTTGATCTATACATAAAACGCAAAAAACAAATAGTACCTTATATTTTTCAGAAAACGTTCGAGAAATCAGTCAACATTTGTCAGAATACATATACGATGACAATAACAATCTAGCTCCAACTGACGCAAATGGAATTGAAGTACTCGAAAAAATGATAAATGAATTAAGTATTGAGTATAATTCAAATCTTTTTTCAAATCCTAAACTTCAAGCTCAACTTCAGACAGTAGAAACATTAGCCTTACAGTTAGAGAACAGTGATCCAATAATTGATACTACACGTACGTTGTATTTAAAAGATAATAATACTTACTTTTTCAATTAATAGAAACTTGGTAGCTGTAACGTAAAAAAAGTAGCGTGCAGTTAAAATTTCATTTCAGTTCCAAAAACTGAGGAGATGCGTGAACGGGTGAAGGACTTGTTGGTTGAATATGATAAAATATTTAATGAAAACACAGATCATCCGACGGCAGGATCATCCAGCAAAAGAAATAGAAGTGCTGGTGTAACAGTAGAAAGTACTATGTTAGAAGATTCAGAAAAAGTACAGAAACTTGTAGAGACTGGACAGGTACAATAATAAACATCATTTGAAATATTAGTAATTAAAATTTATTAATTTCATTTACTTATACAGATACAAAAATTCACTGTACTGCAGTTAAAAAGTGCGTTACGAAAGCTGTATTTGAAAACGTCTGGTAGGAAAGACGAATTAATACATAGAATCACGCAATATTATAGACGCCGTCCTCCGTATTATTAATTGTTGTCTAGCATGTAAGAGAAGATATTTTAATATAATATTTTTGTACAATTTATAATAAAAGACGTATTTTCATTAACTAACGACGGTGTTTAGAGAGACAGAGAGTGAGAGAAAGAAAGAAAGTATGAAAGAAACAGTGAAAGAAAGAACGAAAGAAAGAAATGCCCATGTATGAATTACGGTTCCAGAAAAGCCTCCTAGTAATAGGGTAGCAGAATGTGTAAGGAGATTGCAGGAATATCTGCGCAGAATAGCTGCGCAGTAGACACGTAAGACAGTGGTGGGGGAACGTTCGTCTCTGTGGCCCAGTGATGCCAGAACCGTGGGACGTGGGACAAATCTTTACCCTCTCCACGACGTCCCACGACGTCCCAGTGACTCCCCTACCGCAGTTGTTTCATCTAACACAAGCGCGTTGTCCCACGTGTCCGTGTGAGCTCTCTGCGGGTTTGGCAGAGTTCGGCTGCTCTCGTCATTTCTACGTTATCGGCTCGATGCTCAAGCCGCTAAAGCACGTGGCAGCAGCATCGACGAATCGACAAAATAATATAATTTTGTGCATGGCAATATGGCTGAATTAAGAAACCAGGAGAATCAGTTCGAATCCCGATTTTACGGTTTCAGTTCTGATTCTTAATACATTAACGTTTTTCTAATACATAAAAATACATTTTTGATACATTAATACTATGAAATACATTAACTTGGAAAGCAGTTAAAAAAAAGAATTGAACTGCATCTTTCTTTGATATTTTTTTTAATATTTAAGTTTTATATATATACATATGTATGTACGTACATATGATAAAAGTACGTGATACAGAAGTAATTTCTTCAATTAGATATTACTGTTATTCTAACTATTACAATACGTAAATTCGAAGACATACGAGGAAAATTGGTTAGGTTAAATTGTAAGGATATAAAGAAATTTCAATCTTTAACGGTTTGTCAGTTTTATTTCTTATTCCTTACAACTATTATAATTTTATTCTGTGAATGGTCATTACAATGAAAGATGGATTAGATACAATTTGATTCCTCATTTAATTTGTTATATACATATCAGGTTTCTTGCAACTATTGTACCTGGTCCACGCTTACACGATATTGCATATTTTACTTTCCTATAATACAACAAGGAAACAAAACTATAATATAGTGATTACCATAATACAATAGAAAATGTTAAGCTTGGTATAAACCTTGTTTTTTTTGTGTACTTAATCTGCAGTTACGCTTCGTTGCTTTATAATGACAGATTTTTCTTTTAAATGAAACTTCCACTAGCGTATTGATGAAATTTTTCGATTAAAACAAGATGAAACACGACATAATTTGAATTATAGTTACTTTATATATTTGCATTAGGTTTTAAATAAATAAGTAAATATAATGCAAATTATGTCGTGTTTGGTCTTATTTTAATCAGAAGAACCTTCCAATTACATTGGTAAAAGTTTCATTTAGCAAAAATGAAAAATAAAAAAGTTATGGTTAAATTAATATTGTCTCACTCAAATGTTTTTTCTCGGGCCCTTTAATTCTCGGACCTCTTTCTCTTTCGCTATTTGTCTTTTTCTACGTTCGCCAGCATTCAAGAACTCGCTCGAGCTGTGTTGTTCTGCCAGCCTCGCACACTTTTAGGAGAATCGGGAAAATCCAGCATAATAACACGTTCTATGCTGAAAGAATATACTAACTTATCTGTTTAATAAAATTTTAATAAATCTGGCAATAGATTTATTTTCTGACTGTTTTTCTTAAGTAATCAGAATTTCACCATTCTCCTGTACAGATCGTGTGTAGCAGTTTGTAGCAAACTCAACATATTTTCGATATTATGTAGAA